AGTCGATTTGTTGATGCCTGCTACGGGGCAATCTTCTGGGGGCTGATCCGGCTCAATCGGCCAGCGGTGGGGTGGGGTGGGGGGGCTGCGCACTGTGCGTGTCAACCTGTGGAGTTATGATGTTCCAAACTACTTTAGTCTTGATCACCACAAATAATTCCGAGCCCGACAGAAATACCGAAATTCAACGGTTTTCGCGTGTCGGGCCCTGGGAAACACTCGCCCGACATTATTTCAACACTCTTTCGACATTCTTTCGACACTTTTCCGGGGGCTCGAAATTATTTTTGGGATGTGATCCTTAAGCACGATGGGAGCAACATAGCTGTGGAGCTGGTGATGTGACGGGTGCGTCCTGTTTGGTTGTCATGGAACGCTGGGTGCGATGCCCGTCGTTTGCGTCGGCGCCATGGGAGTTCACGCCACCATCACTTCCAACCAATGCGTTGCACATCCCACCCCCTGTGGGCCAATGTCCAATGTGCCTAGAAATAATGAAAATACTGGAAACCACTTCCATCCCATGGCGCACCACGAAGAGGCCAAGCGTGCTCGACATCATCTGGCTGCCCCGTTGTCACGTTCGGCGGGGCCTTACACTCGCACCCATGATCCCAACGATATCTCCCTCACGGAAAGCATCTTCTGAGTGGTCAACAAGACTCGGGCCGAGCAACACATGAACGCATAGCATGAGGCAAGGCAAGTGCTACCCACCAGACTGGGGCCCCTGAGTCGCAGCCCGTACCGGCGAGCTTGGCCTTGGCATCCGCCACCACGGAGGACTTCTTGTCCTTCGGCGTCTCCGTGGGTTTGGCGGTGCCTAATCGTCTGGGGGCGACACCAGCTGCAGACTGTCCACGCTCGACTTTAGGTGGCTGGGCTGCTGCTGGCTTGGGTTAATCACCTGGCTGGGCAACTGGCTGCGTTTCTGGTGCCGCGCTCCCTGGCGACCCCGCTGCTGTCGCAGATGCCCTGGGAGTCGCTGGCGCCGCACACTGGCCCTCGTGCTCAGGCTCGGTAGTGCGGCAGCGCTTCGGCTGGCGCAACTCACGAAGTCTGGCCTGCTCCTCATTGATGGCCTCGGCCGTCTCCTTGAGCTCCCCGAAGCACGCTGTGGCAGCCTGGGCAAGGTGATCCTGAAATGCACATGCACGCCGTCGTGACAACTGTCCACTAGTTTCCGCGACGACACCGACGAGCTCACTCAGCCCAATCAACTTCCCCGCCACCTAGAATGATTTCCTGCCCGTCCAACAAAGCCACCAGGTCAACGTCCGGGATGGATGTAACGCGGCCCCGGCTGCGGCCCTCGCCCACCGAGGTTGTAAGACCCTTGACCGCCGCTTGAGAAATGGCACGAGCACCATCGACCTCTGCTGGACATGTAGCAAACAGAATCATGCGTGTCCTGATGTTGCTCCAGTTTCTCAAGTTTTGCGAAGCCCTGCGTCTGCACGCTGGACCCTCTGGTCAACTCGATCGACCGACATGGTGGCATCCTGCTGCTGTCTCTTGTGTCCAGCTGCTGCTTGTACACGTTTGCAGTCTCATCACAACCGGCTTTTTGCCAGCAGGGTGACCAAAGCTGAACTGGGTTCCTCCTCATTGGGTTCTCGTTCGAATATTGTTTCGTTTCCACTGGCCGTGCCATCTGCGAACGTGACAGTGGGGTGCTGCCTCTATCACCACCAATTCGCTTCAGGTGCAGGTGAGCGACCGCGACTAGACCAACGATGATCGCGGCGCATTGTCGTCGAAGGCAAGGCGCTGCGGCAGCGCTTGCACCATCGCCACCACGAAATATGATAGGCACGTCCGCACGCGGCACATTTGACGAACTCCTACGTACTTGAGGCACTGCTGGCCATCAGACCAAGAGCGCTGCAATGGACCGAACAATGGGCCCCTCAGTGCACCTGAGGGCTGCAAGAAGAAGACCAACGGCCGCGCGAGGGCTCGCGGTGGGAATCGTGAAGGATGAAGCCTGCTGAAGGGGCGGCTCGCCTCGAGCCAGCCCCTCGGCTGCAGGCAAGCTCGAAGCTGCAGGGCGACCGTCTCGAACTTGAGCCCAAATGGCTACTCCCTCCTATCTCCTCTTCCTCCTCCTCCTCCTCCCTCTCCTCCTCCCTCTCCTCACCTCCCCTCCTCCTCCTCCCCCCCTCCTCTCCCTCCTCCTCCTCCTCCTCCTCCTCCTCCTCCTCCACCTCCCCCTCCTCCTCCTCCGCCTCCTCGTTCCCCGCGTATTGGTCTTCTGGGTGTCCTTCTCGCTGCCACGGCTGTACGAAAGCGGGCCAGGACGGACCCTTGGAGAGGTTCATGAACCGATTTTGAACAGATGTTCTCTTCGTCCGCTGACATCTGGGCATCCTGAAAAAATCAAGAGCACGTCTTGAACCGTTTCGGGCCCCCAGGAACCTCGCGGATCGATGCAGCTCGAAAGGTCATGCCGAGAGATGCGCTGACGACATTGCGGTTGCTTCTCAACGTCTCATGACGGGGCCGCCCTGACTCGTTTACCTGCCATGATCTCTCCCTCCTTCCTGCTCTTGACATATGAAGGGGCCCTGGGACACACAAGTAAATACACACAAATAACCGGATTCTCCATATTTCCCCATAGTTTCTGTTCTGTTGTCTTCCACCCCACTTATGCCATAGTTTCCCATATTTTCCTGGGAATAGACGATGAATTGTGTCTGTGTGTGTTTTTCCCCTCCTGGACACAGGACCGATAAAGACTTCTCCCTGGCCGCACCCAGTGCTCGGCGCGGTCGGCGTCGCCGGCTCGCGCACAGGCGTTAATGACAGAGTTGTATGTCACGCCGTTGGCGGGCACCCCGGCCCTGCCCATGCGCTCCAGCCAGAGCTCGGCGCGCTCAAGGTCGTTCCCCTTGTTGAGCGGGGACCGACCGTCCCGGCATCCCTATAGTCCTACTACGAAATGTTCTTAGAACCCAGAAACGTTCGAACAACAAAAACAATGTTCTCAGAACGTTAACCCGATGTGTTAAAACAAGACCGTCTCAACCAGAAATGGTCTAAGAACATTTCGTGGAAACCACAGACGGTTCTTAGAACATAATTTGGTATGCCTATAGGCGAGCCAGGACGCTTCGCCACTGCTTGACCTTGGCGCACGCGTTGATGACCGTAGAGTAGCTGACCACGTCGGCTGGGACCCCGGCCTCCGCCATGAACTCCAGCCAGTGCTCGGCCCTCTCCGTGTTGGAGCTCTTGGCACAGGCGGCGATGAGCGTGTTGTACATGGTGGCGGTCACCTCGTGGCCGTCCCTGCGCGCCCTCTCCAGGACCCTCTTGAGGGGCAACGATAGGGGGGTGACTGGCATAGGGGGTGATGCACCGTCCTGGAATCGGCGATACATCGCCGATGGATCGGCGATAGGCCCCCGATGGTGAATCCGAACCTTCCTGGGCAGGCTAGGGGTGTCGGGCCCCTATCGGCGATCAATGGGCGATTGGGGGTCGATGCACCCCCCCTATTCTTAGGTCGGGCATGTCCCCCTGCAGGCGGATTTTGCACGAAAAATAAGAAACAATCCAAAAATATTCAAAAATAGTGAAGAATAATACGAACAAACATATATATATATATATATATATAGATATATGCCTCCTGTAGAGGGAAGCGCCCGACTTAACCCTATGCCTGTCCCCCCCGTCGTTGCCCCCGACCTCTCGACCCGCCCGAAGTCGCCCAGCTTCGCCAGCGAATGCGTCAGGGACCCGTAGCACGACAGACTGGCGCGCAGGCCCGCGCGCTCCATGCGGAGCAGCCACTGCTCCGCGCGCAGCGGGTCGCCGGCGCGGGCGCAGGCGTCGATGGTCATGGGCGGCGGCGAACGAGGGGGTGAGATGAGAAGGAGAAGGCCTATTCAAAGGGCGGCGGGACTTCTCCAAGGCCCTCGCGCCTCCCGAGAAGTTTTTGGATGTCTCCGGGGAAGGCCCAAAGAACTCCTCAGAAGGCCGGGGGATTTCCGAGCCTTCTGAGCAGGCCTTTTCCTTCTCACTTCCCCCCCTCGCTCGCCACCGGCATGCAGTAGCTGACGGCGTCTGCCTCTAGGCGGCTGCCCAAGAGCTCCCGCATCCACGCCTCCGCGCGGCTCACGGCCTCGGCGCGGGCGCACGTGCTGATGACCGCGTTGTAGCTGACCACGTCCGGCTCGATGCCGGACCGCACCATCTCGCGGAACCAGTGCTCCTGAGGCTGCCAGGGCCGCAGGTGGTTGACTGGTGGAGTGGCCCCCGCCCCACTTCTCCAGGAGAGGCGAGGAGCGCAAAGAGACCCCAGCTGGGGAGGGGGAGGAGGAGGAACATCGCCGATGACCACTCGTGCAACTGAGAAACAGGAGCACGGGCCACCATTGGGCACGAAGCCCACAAAATTAGACGAGCTGCTTGTCCGTCTTGGGGTGTTTGCCAGCACGGATCGCAGCGATAGCGTACCGCTGCCTAACCTGGCTGGCTTCTCCTTGGAAAGGACCCTTGCAGCCCAGATCGAAATTAGATTTGGGAGCCTGGGCGGACGCTTGGTAGGACCCGCACAGGGTGCACACCGTGGCACCACCGTGGGTCGCCAGAGCCTGGTGGCCGCGGAGCCCGATCAGGGCCTCAGACGGCGGGCCCGACGATTCGCCATGAGCAAAAACCCCCGTCGAACCAGCAGCACCAGAATCAACATCACAGGAGCAGGAGGAGAGGGAGGAGGAGGAGGAGGAGGAGGAGGAGGAGGAGGAGGAGGAGGAGCAGGGGGAGGAGGAGGAGGAGGAGCAGGAGGAGGACGGGAGAGGAGGAGCAGAGGAGGAGGCGGAGGAGGAGGAGGAGGAGGAGGAGGAGAGAGGAGGAGGAGGAGGAGGAGGAGGAGGGGGAGGAGGAGGAGGAGGGGGAGGAGGAGGAGGAGGAGGAGGAGGGGAGGAGAGGAGAAGTGGAGACCACACCGCTCTATTCAAAACGAGAACCCAAAGCCGTGCGCACCGCCCCAGACTGCTGTCTAGGAGTCTCTTGAAGGTCCTGGCCCCTGGCAGCCATCAACCTATGCTGAGCGGTGGGGCTGCAGGGACGAACAGGCAGCTTGGCCAGGCATTCACCCCTGGCCACACACAAACAGACCTTGCACTGCAAGTATGTGCCCCCCCCACCCCCACACCGTAACACTCCACACCATTTCGTGTTGAGCGAAAACCAAATTAGGGGCCGAGAAGGTGGGGGGTCTTTACGTGCAGGCAGGGCGGCCAGACTCACTGTCACCATAAGCAATCTTCGCCGCCGCCCATCCGTGGAACCTGGCCTTCAAGTTGACCTCCGACATGTGGTACTCATAATTCCTGACAGTCGTTTCTGAACAAGCATGTTCAAGAGCACCCCTGCTCGCAAACCAGTCAGCCCAACAATTGCCGGGGTAGAACTCAGACGGGCGGGGTGAATCGGCGGCCCTATCCAGAGACATGCGCGCCGGAATCCAACCGAACTACGTGCTTCGCCGACTATCGCGAACACTTCCCTCCAAAAAACAGCATATGTAGCCTGTGCGTCGGCCTGGTCTTGGTGCCAGGCTGCACCCTCATGACACAAGGAGAGCAAGTCGGTGACCACGAGCGCCACCGTTGACAAGAGTCTGAGCGCCTGCAGCAGAGCAGTACGCCCCGCGCGTTCAACACTTTGCATGGGGCCCTGGAGAGCTCCCCGGGCACAACGCACAGGCATGCCACTGTTTCCAATCTGATAAAATCCCCAGCCACACCGACAGAACTCGGGACAGCTCGGGGCCATGTCAGACCCATCCGTGAACCACCGTGTCACAGGATTCCTTGCAAGAGCTCCAGTCACCTCAGAACACCACAAACATCTTCCAGGGCACCATAGGGAGAGGCCGGGGAAACAGCGGCATGCCAATGCAGATATCAAACTGGCCCCGATCGTCGGCACCGAACACCGCGATGCCCTTGTCCTTGAGATACCCATACGCGCGGTTCAGCCTGGGGCCCCACATGAGGTCCTCTTCCAATGTATTTTCGTAGAGCCCAGGGCAGCCAAAAATCTGATGACCCAGAGTGTTAGGGGTACCATTCCTACACCATGGACACTCGGGCGACATGCGATAGCCTGCCGCAGCCATCCGAAGTCTCGCCCCCAAACCTCCAGCCCATGGAGACTTCAAGGAACCTGCAGAGCTGCCTCGGCAGCAGCCCTTGATCCGCCCAGATATTTCCTGCGCGCTCGCATCCAAATGCGACCCCCACCTATACAGACATCCTGGTGTCGAGCAAGTACCTCCCTAGCCTGCCATCTCTGCACTCCATCTTTTACTACCTTAAGTACAGACCTAGGCGGAATCTTCACCATGTCAATCCAATATTTGTATTCATCACATAAGGTAACACTAAATAACACACTCAAGCCCACCCACTCTAGCGCAAGCCACAACGTGGATATCGGTCCCCGAACACATTTCAAGGAGGCTTTCGAACTCAGTTGTCGATTGACGGAATCCCAAGCACGCTGCTGAAGTCCGCAGGAAACAAACTGGTCCCAAACGAAGCTAGCAGACGCCTTGACGGGCCCCAACGTGGCCTGAAAAAAAACAAATCAATCATCTCATCCCTCTGCGTGGCTAGCACTAAAGTAAGCGAGGGGGCCGTGGAAGTCCTGCCACAAACCACGCCAGCAGCGCGCCGCAACTTGCATAGCTCCTGCTCTGAGATTCCAGATACAGAAGCGCCATGTGCAACCACAGGAAGAAGCCCCGATCTCCAGAGCGCCGTGACTTTCACGCCTGCATTCTTACGCACCATCAGCACCCGCGGCATTCTACCGGACAGCTCGCCTATCCGGTGCACCTTGGTGGCGGCGCGGAGCGTGAGGAAATTCAAAAGAGTTATGACGCGCGCGCAGCCCGCAAGTATGCCCCGCGCGGCTCTCGTCGGCAAGCTCCAGCAGCCGCGGACCCTGGGAACCCTAGGCCGACAAAAGATCCGAGCAACGTCCATAATGCCCTAGGAGGATATCGAAAGAACACCGCTTCATCCATTCGGCCTGGGAAGAGCAGCGTCTCGAAGCACTTCCACGTATCTAGCACAATACGTACCGAATGTTCCCCTCGCCAGTGTGCAACTTCAGCTTGTAGGTTATGATCATATGCTGCGAGCGAAGACGAGAGCTCCCGACGATTTCCCCATGCGCGTCGACTGCCACGGCAGCCAACACCATTCCTGGAAACGTGTCGACGTATCCGGGACCAGAGCCGAACGAGGCAATCGACCAGGGCGATGAGCTGAATCCCCCCATCAAGTTCGCCCATACGAACCATCTCATTAACGGTCCGATCCCCTGGCCACATAAGCGGCCGCTCGCATAGCACAAATAATTCGGCCACTGTCTGCAGCCCCATATCAGATACATATCACAATGCGCGCGGGCGGACCCTGGTCGGCCCCGCGGTCGCCCCCCAACAAAAGGCATCGATAGCTGCCCGCACGCAGTGCACAAATGTAGAAGGCAATGAAGAGCATGATGCGTGATCACGTTGTACCTGCGCACTCCGCGTGTCATGACATGCCCCTGCGCTCCTCCATTTATCCACCCCAACATCAGCCATCTGCTACGGTTGCATACGCTGAGTACCCATGGCGTTAGAATGCAGCTCTGCCGCCTCGTGAGCCGATGCGCCTTGCCAGCAACACGCGTCGCTGGTCCCGTCGAGCTCAGCGCGATACTCATCTGCCTTCTCAACAGCGCACTATGCAACATTCTCAAAATCC